TCTAACCAGTGTTCTGAGCAGGTCAAAGTCCTTGGACTTTGGATGTCCTAGGTTGCAGTTCTGCTGACCCCCCTCCTTACTTCTCCCAACAATCGAAAACTCTATCATTTTGTGATTGCAGTGCCCAAGATGGCCTCCAACCATCACATCACCCACAAGTCCCCTGTTCATAAACAACAGGTCCAGTGGGGTACCTTCCCTTGTTGGCTTACTCACCAGGAAGTTCTCTTCCACACACTCCAGGAGCCTTCTAGACTGTTTCTTCCCTGCTGTGTTGTACTGCTTGGGTGGTCTGTAAGAGGATCCCACCATGATATTTGCCTTGTTGGCCTTCCCCCTGATTCTTACCCATAAACACTTGACCCTATCATCACAATCATTAAGCTCTAGTCTTTCAAAGCACTCCCCCACTGCCTCTCCTTCCTTCCTTGTCCCTTCTGAACAGTTTATAGCCATCCACTGCAGCACTCCAGTTGTGTGAGTAATCCCACCATGTTTCCATGATAGTAACTATATCAGTTTTCCTGCTGCACAATGACTTCCAGCTCCTCCTGTTTGTTGCCCATGCTGTGTGCATTGGTGTAGATGCACTTCAGTTGGGCTATTGATCTCACCACCTTTTTGGGGGAAGAAGCCCTAGTTTCTGTGTGATCATTCTTGGGTGCTTCTGTGGTTCCTAACACATCAATAACCCTTGTGTCTTTGCTGCTGCATCGATCTGCCAGGTACTGATCTGTGGGCTATTCCTGTTTCTTCCCTCATCATTCCCTGCAACTTGAAGGGTAGAGGAGAACATGACTTGTGCTCCTGATCCCTTAACCAGTGGTCCCAAGGCCCTGAAGTCTCTCCTGATTGCCCTCAGACTTCTTGTTGCAACTTCATCACTGTCTACCTGAAAAATCAGTAATGGATGGTGATCCGAGGGCCGTACCAGGGTAGGAAGCTTTCTCTTCGCATCTTTAACTCAGGGCCCAGGGAGGCAGCAGACTTCCCTAAGAAGTGGGTCTGGTCTGCACACTGGGCCTTCTGTTCCCTTCAGGAGCAAGTCTGCTATGACAATGACCCATCTTTTTTTCTTTATGGAAGCAGTTTTGACGCAGGGCATAGGCCAACTTAACCTCAGCAACACCCAGCAATGCCTATAATACACAGTACGGCTTCCCCCTTTTCACTTAAGACATTTTTAATTTTGTGTATGTGTGTGACTGATACTGGTAAAGATGGTTCAGTGCTGAAAATACAGGTTGGATAAATTTACCATTAATTGTTAATATTTGACAGTGCTAATGATCCAGTTCTAGAACTTACACTCTTTATTTTTTATTTTTTTTTTAGAATTTACCCACTTGTTGCATGTAGTTGATGGCCAGGTTAGGATTGCTTTTTCCTAAACTCTTATGCCTTAATCATGTTTTAAACTGAGACAAGACGACAATGGCCTGTTTATTAAGATAGAACGGGTCTTGATGCTAAAACATTGGAGAACAGCTTAAGTATGTTTTGTGGATATTAGGGTTTCTTTTAAGGATAGTGTTAAGGAAAAAGCACTCCTTTTTTAATATCTATTAAGCTCCACTTTTATATGGAAAAGGAAAAAATTGCTGCTTCCATTAAAGAGCCAGTAGAATATGAATGCTTTTGGTGCTAATATTCCAGTGGGAAACAATGTTTTTTGTTAGTGTGGGAAGAGGGTTTTTTTCCTTCCCCGTTTGGCTAACAGACTACTTCTTTTTGATACCAAATAACTTGGAGTTTTGTTCAGATTATTATATTTCTGCTTATGTACCTGCAGATGTTTAATTTGCAGTAAACATTCCTTCTGTTTTAATCTCATCAACTCTGCAGCTTCAGTGTGTATTAAAATAAGGTAGTTTTTTCTTTTGTTTATTTTCAGACATTAGCCGCTTCTAAATTTTGATGGTCTGAGCAGCATCTCTGGGTATAAGTTCAGACCATGCCAAGAATCTTAATTAAATTAATGAGATTGCATCACAGGGTTTTTTAAGAAAGATGCAATAAAACTTTTAAGGCATCCAAACCTAGAATTACTATTTTTGTATACCCAATGCACAAACCACAGATTTAAAGGTACATTGAAATAGTTTTTCTGAAACAGGAAATATGTTATATTAATTGTCAGGAGCTAAAAAAGAAGATAGGAAGGGTGAGCTTACTAGACTCCATATACTCCTCCAGGTGAAGGTTTATAGAAACTGCCTTATGAGAGCTAGTAGAACTCAAATATGTTGGCTTAAGTACTCAGGTTTTTGTAGTGTGGTATTAATACTGAAGGTAGACTTCATTCTTTTGATGTATGTAATTTTTCACTTTTAAGTGTCATGTTTTGACAGATTGAGTCAGAAGTAATTTGTAAAGCAGGATACGTGTTTCCATGTGTAAGTAAGTTGGCATGATGTTTCTGATCTACATACTGGTTGTATGCTTCAGACTTTTATAAATATTCTCTCATAATGGTGGTTAAATAGTTTATGAAAATACTGGAAAGTGTGACTGAATTGAACCAGAAGCTTCGTTCTTTATCAGTTATATGGAAGCTGGGCATTTGTTCTCCATTTTTAGAACCTGAAAAATCAGCAGCTTAAAACAACTTAAAAAATCTTTTTGGACTTGGTATTCCTGCTTGTTGTAGGGTTACCTTCTGAGGTGAGAGTACACTTTCACCTTCTGCCCTCTGCTCTGCAGAAGGTTAGGGATAAAATTAAGACCTTGCCCTTTTTTAAGCACAAAAAAGTACAGAAGCCAATAATGCTTTCTGTCTTTTTTTCTTTCACAGCTGCTTCAGTGCAGTTTTTTCTATTCAGAGAAAAGTCCTGTATCCAACATGTGTCAGTCCAGAATTACCATCATTGCAAATCTTTTAATATGAATGGCTTTGTGCACAGCCTAACTTTTAGATCTGTATTTTCATCTGGCTAGTAACGCTTTGTGCCAATATTCTACCATTGTGCCATCTAAATGGTACTGGATCATACATTGGTATGTTGAACTTTAAAATACTAACAATTTCAGGAAAAGCAGTAATCAGAACTATGCTGTGGAAAAAAACTAAGAGGACACTTAGAAAAGCAGGACTCTATGCCTTAAGAATAAAGGGGAGTAAACAATAAATTTATAGCAATTGGTGGTAAAGCAGGAAGTCCTGTAGCAGTGTATTAACACAAGAAAAAGGGAATGCTACATACATTTGAAAGAACAAAGAACTGACAAGAAAACTACTTTTCCAACAGTTGACAGCACTGAGCATAGAATGGGTCAGTTCTCGATCGCAGTAATATTCAGAAACAACCTAAAAGTTGATCTGAAAAGAAAACAGTGCACTTGTAGTCTGAAATAAAAGGTTATTTAAAAAAGAGTGTGCTCGTGGTGCTCCCTGAGTATCAGGATGGCAGTGGCCAAGCCTGCAGTGGAAAGAAGCAGCCGTCAGACTTTGTGATTTGAGTGAATCTTCAATGTAATCATATTCAACTGAAGTGTGAAATGTGTTAATTTTGCAGAAGAGATTGGAAAAGCAAGCCTGCAAAGTGTGCTTGGGAAAGGACTTCTTATGTCAATCAGGATGCTGTGGGAGAGAAAATCTGATAATCTTCTTTGTTACAAAACACATACCTGCTATTTTGGTGAAATGTACTGGTTGTTGTAGTTGGTTTTGAATATTAAAGTAAAAGGTGAAGTTGTATTAATATATGCTAATGCAAGTTTGAGGAGATTGATTTGCATAGCTAAAAAGATGCTTTCATTAGAATAGTGAAGAAATGCATAGAGAAATGTGTGGAGTAGTTGACCTAAAGCATAAAAGGCATATAATAGGTGGTAGAGTGGAATGTTCCTCGTGGCGTCTCTAATGTCATGTAGCTTGCATTCTATGAAAATAGGAAAGGCGAACAACTGCTTTCATCAAAAGGCAGAATTAATGTTCATTGAAGAAAGCAGAAATCAATCATGTGACTGGTCAGAAACTAGTATAGCGAAAGTAATTACTATTAGTCGGGCCTTACTTTTTAAGAGCATTTTGAGAGGATATAGCTGTTCCTTTCTCATAGTGTTAAAGATTAGTCATTTGTCAGTCGCTGTAAGCAGAGTCATGTGATAAATCTCTATGGAGGCTCAGATTACATTTATCTGAAGTTCTTATCGCTTCTTTCTGATGTGTGCTGTGCAGTGGTCTGCAATGATAGTGAAGAGTCTGAGCCCAATATATATTTTACTAGTTTTCTTGCTAGTGTGAATTTAGCAGTACACAGCATTGAGAGAAAATTGATGCCTTGCCCTAGATGTAAAACCAGAATGTGATTTAAGTGATTAAGAGGTTTTTTTCTCCTTTTCTTTGAGGACTTCAGATTTCTGTTTCCATAATCTGCTTCGGAGGCTTTGCCAGTCCTGTACCTTTCCGTGTTTCTGTGAGCTGTGGATCCAGTGCATTTTTTCGTACAGTAGAAAGAAGAAACTATGGGAGGGAACTAGTTAAATGTGTTGAGAAAATTCTTTAAAAATGAGTATTAGAACTGTAATCTGACAGTAAGAGCGATTTGTTGTGTTGCCATGTTGCTGATTGGCAGCTTTTATCTTCATTGCAATTTTAATCCTGTTAGATCTCATGCGACGTCAAGAAGAATTGAGGCGTTTGGAAGAACTTCGAAATCAAGAACTTCAAAAACGCAAGCAGATACAATTGAGGTATTTTGTCTTCTGTGTGGCATGCAGCTGCTGTATGTAGGCCTGCCTGAGTTTAGATACTCCAGCTTGTAGAGCTTGCTTTTATATCAAATAAAAATGCTTCTGCTGCTAAAAAGTTGCTTTTCAAAAGCATAACGTGTGTTGTTTCTGTTAATGTTCTTGAACAGAAAAGTGATAACTTATGCCAATATAAAAGAATGGTTTCAGGTATTTCTTGAATTTTTTCATTTATTTCAGCTCTGCTAGTTCTGTTGTAAATTTCTGAGCTTTCTAAATAGTGTAGAAATGTCTTAAAGTAAATGTTTTTGTTTCATATGATTTATTTTAACCTTGTGACTGAAGCATAGCTGTAATAGAGCTGTAATAGATACAAACATGCTTCTAAGATTTATGGGCAGGTGATCTGCATGTGGAATCGTAGCATTGCAAATGTATAGTCTGACATGAAAGATTTTTGGGCGTATTTTCACTTGATATTCTGGCATGTTACAAACAATTTTTCCTTTAAGATCTGATTCATACAAATATTTGCTTTCATGTCTTTACTAAAATTCAAGAAAACAGACATAGTATAATCATGTTGATTTGGTTTATACTTTTTATGTTAAATACCACAAGAAATGTAGATGAGAAAAAAAGACCAATACACAAACACCTCTCAGAGTTAAAAATGTGTCTTTTGGCAGTATTGAAATGTTTTAATCCATAGTAACTTTTTAAAAACTGGAGCATTTTAACCTGCGTACCAATATATAGTCGGAAGAACAGGTATAAAACGTACTGGTATTGTAATTGCCTGTCCCCCCCCCCCCCTCCAAAAAACCCCAAACAAACCAGAAAAACCCCAAACCTCAGTAATATTCAAACCCATCAGGTGGAGTAGATTAGTGCCTTACACTATTAAAAAAAAAATAAAAAATAAATAATGACCAGTTTTGTTTATGTGCTTCATCTTATCTCCTGAGACTGAGTACAAGCCTGAACAGGTCAAGAGTCTAAATTGACATAGTTTTTGAAAAATATTGTAGACATGAAGAAGAACATCGACGTCGTGAAGAAGAGATGCTACGTCAAAGGGAACAGGAGGAATTACGACGACAGCAGGAGGGAGGATTTAAGCCAAATTTCATGGACAACGTAAGTAAAATGCTATGACTAAAGTCCAAATTGTAAACGATCTTTTTATTGTAATATTTTTATATACTAGCTATTGAGCTGTCGCCTCCTTGTTTACTGTTTTTTTCCTTCAGTATTCCATTGTTCTCGAGTGGAGTGGTACAACTTCAGTAGTGTAGTTACTCTTTTGTATGATGGCATCACTGTTATTTTTCTTACAAGCTGGTGTTGTAACTTTTCAGTTAAGTGAAGGTGTTCAGATAATAATTTGCCTTTTTTATTCAGGAAATTAATTCTTCCAGTAGAATAATATTTTTTTTTTTTCTGAAGTGGGAGGTCATGGGAGTAAATGGTGTTCCCATAAGAAGGTGCCCTACTTTGACTGAAATTTTAAACCAGTTCAGGCTGTTAAGCTGGTTTGAATTGCTTGTTTTGGTTTATGCTTAACTTATTAAGAATTATATACTTCAGAAACAAAATGGGCAGTGTTAACTTCATATGGAGCCTAAAATCACTCTCCCCTTTGAGCCTACTGTAAAACTAGATGAGGAAAACCTCAGAATTTTTACTAAAGGAAACCAAAAGATTATAAAGGTAGGGAAAAAAAAAGGCCCTCTATAATTTCTACATTATTTATATTAGTAGTTTAGGTGTATTTCTGCCTCTGAAGACTCATCTTGCAGAACTAGCAAAATGGTATCAGAGGAGTCAGCTTCTAAATTTTCATGATCTATTTTGGTCAAGGGTATGACTTACTTTCTACCAACCAAAGCAGTTAAATGAACACAGCCTGTATTGGGAATGCTTTAGTTCCATGTGAGGAGGATATTGTTTACTGTTACAGCTATTCTTAGTGAGGAAGCAATGAATAAGTGATCCACACAATGCTCTTCTACATTATTATAACTTCAGGAGGGAATTTTGCTCCCCTTTACAGGTACAACTTGATATATAAATCAAAAATAAACTGCTGGTTTCCCAGCTGCTTTCTGATTATGTTTTTTGTGGGAGAAATACCTATTTTAAATTCTACCATAACATTTTCTGTAGGGTTGAGAAGAATATATTATGTATGTTCTGAGACATCTTAAGAAAATTTAGAAAATAGAAGATTTCCTGTTCTCAGCAGGACATTTTTTTCCCATCCTCTGCCCCTTGGTGTTTTTAGTAAAGATGGGGAGGAAGAAAAATTGTTCCTTTGATGTTACTAACAGCTATCAGTTAATTTTGTTGATTGTGTTTTGAGAAACTTGCAGCAGAAAACCATGTCATTTATTTACGTATGTGCTCACACTGCAAAAGAAAACTGCTTTCAGCGTGTCTTTTCTTTGGGGTGATGAAGATCAAGAATTCAAAATTCATAATGTCCTTTAGTGTGTTCCTGCATATTATTAAACATACTTCGTGAAATAGCACATAACAATTGTCTGATGTAATTTAGAAATAGCACTTATTGACTGTGACTTCTGTAGTGCCAAATACGAAATTTCATTTCACCTTAATAACTTCACATAATGTCTTTTGGGGTGGCCTGACCTTCTGACCCTACAAGCTGCCTGTCAAAACCCTCCTGTGGCTGATCTGTGAGATATATCCTACTGGCTGCAGAGTGCTGCAGGAAAGGGGAAGCTGGAGAGCCAACCCACAGGCTTGAGATGGCAGTAGTTCCCTCAGATTCCATTGCTATTAGGAGATCGTGGCCTATACCCTGCAGCTTGGGGTGCTGAGAAAACTAGCTGATGTTGGCCACAGCAATCTCTGCTGGTTTTCTTCTTGCACCTGTCTTGAGATAATGTTACTTAGCCTCTGTGCTTGAATTGCTTGCCACAGTCTGGCCATCCTCCTGCTTATCTGCACCTTTAAATTCTGAAGTCTGTGTAAATAGAAATTGTTCAAGTTGGTGTGCTGGACGTGGCAAAAATGTAGTGTAACAAGGGAAGAGGAATGGTTCAAATGGAAAGCACTTCAACCACTGTGCATAATTTTTGCAACTTTTATATGATGAATTTTTTTGAGGCGAAAAGTAAAAGTGGAAGAATGCTTTGGAAGAGTGTAGCTTTCCCACTGAGTTGAATTACTGGAATTGTGTGTTATCTGGAACTAATTGATACACTGCAAGAATATATATATGTAGCTGTTAAGTGACAACCCTACCAAAAGTGTTATAAGTTATATAAAGGAATATATAGTATATGTGGGGTTTTTTTAATATCATGAGAAATTGAAATTATACAATAATTTTAAAAAATGTTTTCTCAAGTCTTCAGACTATTCTTTAGTATTCTGGTCATGCATTGACATGTTTTACTTCTAATGTCCTTTGAACTTCAAAGAGGAAGAATGGAAACAAAATTGGAAGTGATGTATTTACTTTCTTTAGCAACTGTTTCTAATAAGGTCAGCTATGTAACTAAACATGGCCTATCATTTTATACAGATGTTCATTATAACGTCTTTAGATAGCTGTACTTAAGTTGTATAGTGTGAATGGGAATTTGAAAAAGCCTTTGCATTTTGCAGCAGAATTGTAAACCATTTCTGGAGATTGCAAAATGATACATCAAATATTTTTTTTCAATTTAGTAGACTTTATTATACAACTAATTTTTGTATTTATTCTTACTAATACTTGTTTACTGAGAGAGACTCCATCTGATATTTACTCCTAGTCTCAGATTACCATTGTACATACACTGAAAAAAGTTATTCTCTGTTTTGAGAGTTTAAAAGTTGCCTCTTGGTGAAAATTGCATTTTATGATACTGGTGGATAGTTTTTACCATATCGAGTCTTGATAAACTCTTTTGGCATAATCCTTATAACATACTTATAACATACATACTACTTCTGCCAACCATGTATTTAGAAGGAAAATGATAATTGTTTCTAATCCTTGTTTTTGTTTCTTAAAAGCTTTGAAAAGTAAGCTTCCTTCACTTATATTCTATCCCTTTTTACTGTTCAGTGTAAAAGGAGGACATAAATGGTAAGTGCAATCACAGCCAGAATTGGGATCTCTTGTATAAGGCTGCAGTATTAGGCTTTCCTGTTTAAAGTTTCTTTCTGTATCTTTTCCCTAACTTGTTAAACTTTAATTTTTCAGTATGACTGCTTTTTAAAAATGTCTTCTAATCAAGTTCAATGCAGTTACCAGTTCATCGGTTTATCAAGGATAAAAATATTTTCTGTGTGGGGATTTATCTTACTGAAATGTTCTTCCAATTAAAAATTGGATTGCATTAATTGTTAATCCAGTGGGCACCCTAGTGATACCTAAATTTATTAGTCTAGTTTTGTGATCTCTAGTAGGTAAGTTATTGATAAACACTTGTATTGGTTAGGGTTTTTCCTTGCTTTCTTAAAGTCAGTTAGTTGAAATCTGCTGTTACAGCTCAATATATACGCATATTAGTTTCATAATGGCTTAATCAGGAAACTTGTTTTCCTGTAATATTTTGCTAATTTTTATTTTGCATACATATTTCTTGCTAAAAGAGGAGCTCGCTGATGGTGATTGGAAGCAGTATTTTAATTTTCAGCAGCACAAATATTTTTTAAAAATATATTACTTCTGAGCACTAGTAATACATTAATTACTCAAACTGTGCAATGGTTACTATCCTATTGTGAATGGCTTACATAGATTTACACTGTTAAATCTCCATCAGAGTCTTTTTACCAAATAATTCCAGTTCCAGGAACTACTTTTAATTCATGTCACCAACTCAGAGCGAAAAGAGAGTGATTTGGATTTAGTGTATTAAAATGGTTTTCATGTGTCTACAAAAGAGACCAAAATATGTAGGAGTTGTAGTCTTATTTTTATGGCACACAGATTTAATTCTGTAGTGTCACTGCAAAATAGTGTCAGGTGTGTATTGTACTTAACGAAACAATAGCTGCGATACTGGCCTACAGCTTACCGTTCTTCTTACTGGTGGTTTAAAGAGGGAGTTGAGATTTTTGGGTGTCCCTGTCCTCTTCCCTCCAAGGAACTCCCCCCTTTTCAAGTGTAACTTGCATATGAAAGGAACTGTTTCTTGTGAGTTCATCAGTTTCAACTTCTGAATACTTACTGTTCTTTCATGGAAGACTGTATATTAAATACTTTTTTCCTCCTAGTTTTTTAAAGAATTATTTCTAGATGTTGTTTTGCTTTCCTTTTTTTTTTTTTTTTTTTTTTTTTTACACAGAAGCTCTGCTGCTCAAGTATGTTGTGTAAGTATCAGCATAAGGTGGCAGCTGCTAAAGCAGTGGAGATTGCCTCAACAGCAGAGATTGTAGTGGACTTGAATCAGAAGCTGTAAGACACATGAGAGCAAGGGAATAAAAAAGCACATCCCAAAACAACAATAAATTTCATAGCTTCATGAATGCCAGAAACTTGATTGAAAAAAAATATCTGGTTCTAAGAGTTTTGTCCTTCTTTGGAGTGGTTTATAGATGTAGGTTTAAGCCTAGTGAAGTATATCTTATCCCTCACTTCTACATTCACTTGCAAGTTAAGTAGTAGCCAGTTTTGAAACAAGACTGTCAGATTTCCTTGGACTTCTGTAATTCAAGAATAGCTTGCACTTCTTGGCTCTTAAGTGAATAGGACTGCTTTTTTTCCTGTCTTCTGATTCCATTATGCTCAAAAGCCCCAGTTATGTAAGAAGTTTGAATTTTCACTGAATGCAGGATTGTTTCCTACCTTATTCAAAACTAAACTAAGCTAAGGCAGATTTCCAGTAATAATAAATGAATACAATTTTCCAAGGATCTTTTAAAATTTGATCTGTTTTCTAATAATAATAAATTTTGGTTATTTTATCTTGACAGTGTAGTGTACTTAATGAAGCTGATGGTGGTGAAGTTTTATGAGGTTGTATGAATCTAGTCTCTGTTTCTTAAACTGCTATAAAGCTAAGCTGCTTTATAAAAGCTCTTTTGTAGAGTTTGGTTGGGAGAGATGAATTACCTCCTTATTGCAATCCAGCATACATACTCATGGAAGAAGTAAGTAGTTCATGTTTGACACC